GGTCGCCGACAATGCGATGGGGTCGGCCAACCGGGCCGGACGACCGGCCAGGCGGCCCGAACCCCCCCAGGCGACCACCAGGCGGCCGGGTGGCCTGGGGACCAGCCTAGAATATAATGTCTTAACAAGTCCATGTTGAAGGTCAAGTGGGCAGTAATTCAGATCCAAGCCAACTCTCACAACTCATATTCGGTACGATGTCCTTAACTTGCCTGCCCCTGTTTCAGCCTCATTCTTCATCTGCACATTTCGGAGTACGTGCGTGTTGAGTCTGCGTCGGAGCTGCGCTGTCCCTTCCAGCCCCAGCCCCATCTCCATCTCCGTCATCCTCACCCCTTCGGCTTCATCCTCACGGACTGCCATCCCGGCGCGTCCGCCACACTGGTATCAGAGCGGGAATGTTACAATTTTATTTTATTGTACTTTTTTTAAATACTACAATTCTGAATCATGTAGGGCCGGTCAGTTGCTTGATCCAATCCCTTAAGCAGCATTGGCCGCGGGGTGAAGTCCATGACGTGCTGCGTGCCGGATTCGGGTTGATGAGGGGTGGCGGATGAAGGGGATAGATATCTTTTTTTTTCTTGATGGTGATTCTGATCTTCGTGTTATGGATGTTTCACCATAGACCGAATAGCTCGCGAGCTTTTTCCGCTCTTTTCCAACATGCTGCAGTCCCCATCGAGTTGGTCCCAATTGGTTGAGTTGGATGCTTTAAGCCACTTTGCGCGATGGGAGTGACGTTGGCCAGGCTTTGATTGAATTGAAAAATCTCATCGACATTTGTTGTGAGACGCCGCACCGTAAAAATAGCGATAAAAAGCTATTTTATCTACATAAGAGTTTTCTCCTGCAACTTGTCGTGCCATTTGCTCTTTTAATGCTATGTAGCCATCTCCTGCTGCAACTCCTGCTGCAACTCCGGCTGCAACTCCGGCTGCAACTCCGGCTGCAACTCCTGCTGCAACTTGCCATGCCGTTGATCTCTTGATGCTATGAAGCCAACCCCGGCTGCAACTCCGCCGCAATTCCTGCTGCAACTATTGCTGCAACTCCTGCTGCAACTCCTGCTGCAACTTGCCGTGCCGTTGATCTCTTGATGCTATGAAGCCAACTCCGGCTGCAACTCCTGTTGCAACTCCTCCTGGAACTCCTCCTGGAACTCCTGCAAGTGCTGCAAGTCCTGCAAGTCCTGCAACTTGCCGTGCCGTTGATCTCTTGATGATATGAAGCCAACTCCGGCTGCAACTCCTGCCGCAATTCCTGCTGCAATTCCTGCTGCAACTCCTGCTGCAACTCCTGCTACAACTCCTGCTGCAACTCCTGCAACTCCTGCAAGTACTGCAATCCCTCCTGCAAGTACTGGAAGTCCTGCAACTCGTGCCGCTTGCCGTGCCAGTGCTCTGTCGATGCTATGCTTGCTGCTGCTTGTCTTGAAGAGGAAGCTTCTAGAAGATTTTTTGAAGAAGATCCGTGGCCATGTCTGCAGCGCTTTCAGAACAACCGAGCATGATACATGTATGCTTGCGTTGTAATGTCTTTGGCGGCAAGTTGGGGATGCTATGGTAGGTTGCAGGGGATGCATATGGTAAGTGAAAGTGCGAAGTATATCGATTCACATGGCTGCAGATGCCTCATGCTGTCCTGGTGGCACTGGTGCCGCCGGCGGCGTTCACATGAAAGAATCGTGATCACGGCTGTATCCTGACTGAAGAGGAGGTGGCAAAGAGTCAAGGCAGGTGCTTGTCCTGAAAAGGGCACATTATCCTATGTGGGTAATGTGGGTAAAGAGCCTTTTTTAGAATCACTATAATGGCTCTATTCTTGCAGAAGAGGAGAGTGGCAGACTGTGGCGGCAGCCTGTAAGGGAAGAGCACAGTAGCATGGAAGTCACACATGCAAAGTTGCAAACTTTTTTTTTCTTTTTCCTTTTTTTTTTTTTTTTTTTTCCTCTCCCCCTTTTTTTTAGTTTTATTTTTTATTTTTTAAAGGTGGTCCATTCCATTGATAGCCCGAAAATGGGTCCGGCGTCCCTTACATATTTGCCACGGCTTCATGGAGCTGGGCGAGGCACTCCCGACCAAGCCCATCCACGACCGTGGCCAATGAATGAAGTACTGAAGGCAGAATGGTCTAACAAAATGTTGTGTACAAGCCGGTGAGAGGGGAACATTTTCTGTGTGAGGACAGCCATCGTGACAGAGTCTGCAGATGATCTTACCCGTGCGATTTGTAATGCTTCAATGAGATTACTCTGGACCCAGGTGTCCCTAATTCTCATTTCAATTTTTTATTTTTATTTTTATTTTTATTTTTATTTTTATTTTTATTTCTATTTTTATTTTCTAAACAAAAAAAAAACCAGGTCCTTACGGTCCTGGCTCCATACCCATTTTGGTGACCTTCAGTCCGGTTACTATTACCCCGGCAAGTCAAAATAATAAGATACGTCAAGTACACACACGCATCCTTCCACTTGGCCGAAGGATCCATGATCAGCATTGATTGCTCCATATCACAGGAGGAGGATTGACTGTCAGCTTACCCCCTTCTGCTGACCTGTTGATTTTGCTATTCACATCAAGAATCTTGAGAAAGGCGTTCTTTCTTCCCCTCCTCACTTCCATGCTTTGAGTTTTTTGACACATGCTGTCTCTTTTCGTCCCCTACTGATGCCGCAGTGGAAGTGATGAGGGGAAGAAAGGACGCCTTAAGTTTCTCGTGATTCTTGATGTCGCCATCTCGCTCTTGCTGTGGTCTGGGACCTCTCCGCCTGCGAGTTCTGCCATGATGCCATCGGCGGGCTGTTGACTCATGGGCTATCGAGTGCCGATTCTTCCAGCTCAAGGTGTCATTCGATTGACAAAACATGTGATCTTGCCTTGGATTAACCAATCCCTTTCAAGTTGGAAGGCTCGTTTCTCGGTTGCCGTGCGTCTTCAAGTTCTCTGGTCTTAACACCACCGGTCCTCCTGACGTTAGAAAACCTCCTGTTGATAGTCTTACCGTGCGCCATCTGCGGCGAATTTCGGTGGTCTACCATTCTGACCATCAGGGCCCATGCCTCCTCCCTTGCCAGTAGTTCCATTCAGCCTTTTCCTTTTTGCCTTGTCATAGGTCTAGGTCCCCTTTTCTCCTGTTTCCATCAAGATGCAGATGAGGCTTGGGTTGTTGCCTTTGGAGTCCGTCGTAGGTCTAGGCAGAGGGTAGAAGTAGCGGGCAGGAAATCTGGTTTGGGTTTTTTCACGTTTATTGTTGGCTGGGGGAAACTCTGCCCGTCCGACGTCCGTTGCTGGAGCGCTGCTGCGCTGTTTTGGGCGAGGTCATCTTCTTCCTCGAAGCCCAGCCATAGCTGGGGTTGGCAAACAAAGTTGCATTTCTTTCGTTTCCAGCATAAGTGATAGATAGGCACAGCATGGAGGATCTATTTGCCTCCATATGTACTTCCCTCCATAGCTGGGGGAAACTCTATGGAGGGAAGTAAATATGGAGGCACATAGATCAACAGATAAACTGATACTATATATAGACCTACATTATTGCCTTCATCTTGCCTTTCTCGCTAGAGTCCCTGCCTACCCTAGGCAAAAAATGTCACCGGTGCTATGTATAGACCAACAGATAAACAGATAAAATGTCAGATATGTGCAGGAATGCAAGAAGGCACGAAGGAAGCGAGGAAGGGAGGAATGAAAATATTAGGTGATGGCAGTCTCCCTGACTCTTTGTTCACACAGATATATTGGATGTATATTAGATTCCATACCTAGATCACGTACTCCGATGACGAGGTAGATGAGATGAATCTAATACCAGATGAGATTAGCTGTAGTGTGTCGAGATGTCGTTTAGTCGTCTTTCCTCGATATGATAGGTGATCTTCCCCATTACATATAGATATACAAGTACATGATGAATCATCTTGCATCGCCGACTGTACTGATATGCTGTTGAATGTGCTGGTTGGAAATGATGTGTGAAATTGTGATTGTATTTGTGAAATTGTTAATGTATGTCTGCTCATTTGTTTCCCTCCCTCTCTCTCTTCACTTGAGGGATCTGTCTCATCATTGGACATAGTATCTGATCTTTATATATATGTCGTCAAATAGAACTGCCCGGTAAACCGTAGGCAGAGAGGGAGAAGAGGACAACAAACGAGGGGCTGTGACAAACTGTTTCGTCGGAGTTTCACCGACTCATCAGGAGGCTGAACCCTCAACAGTCTGCAGAATCCCCTCACTG